GTTTATGTTTTCCAAGACCTTTAAGTTTTGAATAAATAAAAACATACATGTATAATAATATTTTGTTTATTAAATGAAACTCATTTTTTCATATAATAATCAAACGGTCGTCTTGCTTTTAATAGTCTGACGCTTCGGATCGGTTAGTAATTTGTCAAATATGGTTTGCATTGCCTCATTAAGACCGGTATGAAGCGTTTGATCTTTTGATTCATCGCTTATATACAATCTGACAGTAGCTTCACTGAATTTCCATCTATAACAGCAAATTATTTTATTTTAAAAACAAAAGAAGTAAATAAAATCAGTGAAAAAAAAAACAGATTCATCAATAGGTTTTTTAAATTTAAACCAATGTATTTACCTGTCTTTTACTGGTACATTCTCAATGTTAGCAACCTTATAGTGGCTAATTACCCAAAGCTCCTTTGCTTTTTCTTCAAAAGGTGACTTGATTGTTACAACACCACCATCCCCTTGTCTAAATGTTAGCGAATTAACTCGACATCAAATTCTTCTGATCTCAAACGTTCGGTATCATTATCTCTGTATGATGCATTCTATAAAAAAAATTAAATTATTTATGCTATCATTATAATAAATATTATTTATATTACCATTTTATTCTGCTTTTTTTTCATAGAATTTTTCGCACTTGTTTTTTCTGCAGCACGTTTTAGACCAGGTTTTGATTTTGAAAAAGACGGTCTCATATCAATTGATTCGCTGAAATGTTCATTCTATGAAACATAAAACATAGTATATTATTTTTTACTATTTTTTCATTTTATATTTTATATGTTCCAAGAATTATAACCAAAGCGTTGAGTAATGTCACGACTGACCTCCAATATACTTTAGTTACTATATAGTTTTTTAAACTATGTTATAATCAGGCATTTAATATTATTTTAAGAATTATAACCATAGCTTTGAGTAGTGTTACGACTGGTCTCCATCATATCTTATAGCTTTGGCTATAAGATATTTACTAAGTAGTTACTAACCTCTGAATCAGTTGAAGCAATTGTAGCGACATCTTTTTTGGTAGTATCTCTGTTGAACTGAGTTGCTTGTCCTGGGATGAAATCTTGAAGACTGGTGAATATTAGTGAATTCCCTCTGTCTTTTATACACAGATTTTGCCACTACTTCAATAATTTAAAATACAAATTTCCACAGCAATGACCTTACCTTACAGAAACCGGTCGAAACATGTACATAGAGGTACAACAGCAGATTACATTCTATGAATTTAAATTGTTGCTAACATAAATTGCTTTCATATAATAATTACACTATATGAATATAAATTATTACAAACAGGATTTAAAATAATTTACATACATACCAATGTCATTCTAATATGAAAACAGGATGTGTAATATATTAAAATGTTTAAATCCATTCTAAAAAAGTTTCTGATGTGAGCAGAGAGGGGCTATTTTCGGGTATAAAACACAGAATTTCTTAGCTTATCGTCATCAGTTCAAGCAACAGCAGTCCACAGCAGTTCCAAAAGCAGTCAGCACTCAGCAGCAGAACAGCCTTCTTCGCCAACCAACAATCAGCCAGCAGATTACCAGACCTCTTCGACAAGCCATCATACTTAGAAAAATACTTAAATTTCCACAAGCTATGTAAGTACTATTTTTATATTGTTATTTATTAAATTTAACATCTAAACTTCTTTTTTAAAATAAAAAAAATAAATTAAATAAAATAGAATAATAACAATGTATCGTTGTAATATAGCTTTATAATATTACTATGAACGTTATATCATGTAGGTATGACTTTAGATAGAAATTCTATCTAAAACCGTGCTTACAAACTTAAAGATATTTCATCAGATCAGATTATATAAAATAAAAACCATTAGAATAAAAGTAGTGGTTTAAGACGGTTTCTCAACTCTCACTTTTAGTTACTATCATATAAGCTGTTTTCTTTTTTGTTAAGTTATGTTTAAATAAAATAAATAATACGTTATAATTATGTGACTGTATGACCACACTCCGCGATATAGAAAACTGCTGTATCAATGTATCATAGATTTACATAGATAAGATAAAACATCGGGCTTATCAGCCATGGATAAAGTGTTTAAATTTTTTTGAGGTTTTAAGGGTTCTATATTATCACGAACTAAGATATATTATCTTAGTTCATGCTTATTATTGATAATTATTATTATAACTTAACCTCAAAATCTGACTGTACTAGTACACACTGGTGTACACTGACCCAGGGGGTGTGAACTTATAGCTATAATATTCATACCTCTCGATATAACTCAAAAGAGATCCTACTGCTTCGCTAGTATCGAATTTCATGGATTAAAAGATATGATTACTCGCTTCATCCATGGTGAAAAAAAATATAATAACTACCAACGGCACTGACCAAAACATTAAAGATATATATAACTAGGTTCTTGCATAAATATTAAATATTAATTCGTCTCTTGACTGTTTTGACTTTTGAGTATTTTACTTCACGCGTAACTCGTTTTCTCGTTCGATTAATTATTTACAGTGCATGGCATAATGCCGTCCAACAAGTGTTCTGTGTTAGGCTGTAATAGTAATAAAAATGTTAAAAAACATGTGTTTCCGTTGGATGATGATGAGTTTAGTATGTGGATTTTAAGGACTGGAAATGAGAAGTTGGTGAATCTTTCAAAGACGTATGTAAGAAAAACGTATTTGGTTTGTACTGAACATTTTAGTTGTACTAGCTACAGCCCTGGTACTTTACGATTGAAGAAACACTCATTACCGAGCTTAAATTTACCAAGTATTTATTACTCATCAGTCATCATGATTTGTGGTTATTTATGTGCAGAGATTTAATCTCACGTTGAACTGTTTAAAAAACTATTTCTATGCTTGTGAATTAAAATTATGTGTTTATATGTAAATATTATTTGTGTTTATGTTGATTTTCATTTCTCATATTCAGATTGCTTGTGAATTTTCAATTGAAGGTAATGTTTATTTTATGTACCTATTAATTTTATTTGTTACTCATACATACTATATTTTATTTTATTTGTTTATACCATTATATACACATTTAATATATTATTATTATTATTACCTATTGTAAAAATAGTACCTAGTTTCATATTCATATTTATTTATTTTTATTTTCTTGAACTCAATGTTTCAGAAATTATTAATTAATATAATGTATTATTATGCTAGCTGGAGTGAGATATGGCCTTTTTAAGATATATTTTATTAAAGAGTTAATTGTGGTGTTTAATGATGTAAGATTGGTTTTAAAAGTACCACCCCACCCAATATGCTTATTTCATATGAAATTATAGAATTTACTAATACAGTATATAAGTACTGTCTTTAAAACTTTTTGATCCAAAATTTGTCTAAGTATTTCAAATATGTTAAACAAATGTCCTTATTCAAATGGCTACACCTATTTTAATATGATATTTTAGCTAATTAAGTTAATTATCATTTATCATAAACCAAACATAAGTACTTTATTTCTGTTAATTATTCTTTTATTTCAATAGAATTACAATCACTTATTTGTTTACAAGTATTATTATGAAAAGATAACATATAGTTTTTAATATTATTATTATTGTTATAATAATATTACATTTTAGATAATTATAAATAGTAATAGCCCTAAAACTGTTCCCTGAGGTACAGAATGTGTAAGAATCACAGGTTTACTACTTTCATTTTCTATATTAACTATTTAAGTTCTGAAATATTTAAGAATTAAAATCATTAGCTATACCTTCATTATTTACCAAGAGGATGGTTTCGATTATTTTTACCCGATGCTTTATAAATCACATTCCATATAACTTCTATATTATTTCTTAAACTATACATTTTATTAATAAAATATGTAGGTATTCATTGTAGTTTCATTGCAGTATATTCTGTATGTGTTTTTTTTTGTTGGTGGTAGTATCTAAATGCTTGAATGTTTGTATTCTAAACAATATAATATATGTTTTTATTTGTTTAATGTTAAGTTATACTTCCTTCTGGCTGCCCTGTCAACAAATCATCTGACATTACAATTGATGAATCAATGAATCTGGTTAATGTTAGCTGCTCATCACCTCTGGCGTTACCTTTGCTTAATGTATCTCAAGGTATGAATTAAACACATAATATATTTAAGTAAACTGTTATAACTACCTAATTAAATATTTTTTTAGCCACGCCTTCAAAGGAATTAACTACTAGTTCATTAAGCTCTGTTTACCAATCACCTAACAACTCATTTGAATTTGTGAATGTTAGCTGCTCATCACCTTTGGCTATACCTTTATTACCTGAACTAACTGAAGGTAATAAAATACATACTATTATGTTATTACATTTACATAACTATCTCTTTCTTTGATTTATATAGAAACACCTACGATCAAATCAATATCTGGCTCTGTTGATGTAAAAGTTATTAAAAAGAAGTTATGTTTGCTGAAACAGATTGGAATGAAAAATGTATCAGAATTAACACCAAGAAAAGGCAAACTATACGTAACGGCAAAAAAGTTAATCAAAAAAGTGAATTTAATTTCAAAGAAAACCTGTTCTTTGAAAACAAAATTAAAGATGGCTAAACAATTTGTCATTTCTGATAGTTGTAACAGTTTAGCTGACAAACTAAACAAAACAACCCTAGATTTTATTAAGACACAGATTAATATTCAACACAGAAATCCAAAAGGCAAAAGATACACTTTAGATGACAAGATTTTATCACTTTCAATATACAAAACTTCACCTAAAGGTTATAGGTTTCTTTCATCGATATTTGCTCTTCCATCAAGATCTACTTTAACATCAAGGTTAAGTAGAATTCCATTTAAACCAGGAATAAATTTACACATTCAAGAAAACCTCAAACACCAGTCTACAAAATTAAAAGATATTAATAAAAACTGTATATTAATTTTTGATGAAATGGCGTTAAGTGCTGGATTAAGGTATGACAAAAAAAACGACATGATACTCGGCCTTCAGAAAAATCAGAATAGCCAAACACCAAAGTTTGCTGACCATGCTCTAGTTTTTATGTTGAGAGGGATTGCTAAGAAGTGGAAACAGCCGTATGCATATTATTATAGCACCAGCACTATTCAAACGGCTGATTTAGTCTCCTACTTGAAATGTATTGTCAGAAGTGTGAACAAAACTGGTCTTAAAATTGTAGCAACTGTTTGTGACCAAGGAGGAACCAATCGAGCTGCAATAAATTATTTGATGTCTGAAACATGTAAAAATTATGCTGAACGTAATATGGAGAAAACAAATTTAGGTTTTGAAATTGATGGCCAGGAAATAATACCAATATTTGATCCTCCTCATTTGTTAAAATGTATAAGAAACAATTTATTTAATAAAGATGTCATTTTTGACATGGACGGTAATACTTATACAGCGTCTTGGGATCATATTGTTGCTATGTACGAATTTGATAAGAAAAATGAAGAATTTGAACTAAGAACCCTTGTTAAACTAAACGACAACCACATTAACATTGCCAGAAGCAAAATGAAAGTTTCAAATGCAGCACAAGTCTTTAGCCACAAAGTAGCTTCAACAATGAAATTGGTGTCTGATAATGGTATGTGTATTTAATTGATTTATCTTTATAATGTGTTTAAGTTACTATTATTATACTAAATTATACCTTTTTAGCCCCTAAAGGAAGTTTGCTGGCCAATGCTGTAGGCACGGCCAAATTTTGTCTATTCATGGATAAGACATTTGATTCAGTTAATGCCAGGACAATCAACCCTGAGTTAGGAAAACCACTAAGAAGTGCAGTAACAGATAAATCTTCCCATATGGATCACTGGAAATATGCCATCAAGGTTTTTGAATCTATGAAGTTTGTCAACAAAACTAACGGTAAAACTACGATACCCCCTTGTATCAAGAACTGGATAATATCTCTTAAATCATTTATATACCTTTGGCTTCAACTGAAAAAACGTAATTTTAAATATTTCTTACCAAGGCAAGTCAACCAAGATTCTTTAGAATGTTTTTTCGGTAGTGTCCGCAGTCATGGTGTCAGAAATATCAATCCAGATGCATATCAATTTGTTTGTTCATTTAAAACATTATTGATAAACAATTTCACATCGTTAAAATCTGCTGGAAATTGTGAACACGATGATACTGATGGAACATTGGACAATTTAAAGCAATTTATTGAAAGTGGCACACATTGTGTCTTAAAAGAACCTGAAGAGAACAATATTATAATTGATATACCCATGTTAGACCTACCACATACATTTGAAGTATGTGATTTCACTGATATGACAATTGGATATATAAGTGGATATTTAGCTTGTACGGTGCTAAAGGAAAATAAATTTTGTAGACTTTGCAAAAATGTTCTTATTTCAAATGTCAAAAATAATAATTTAATAAGAGTTAGAGATTATACAACCAAATCATTACTTTATCCTAGTGAAAGCTTTCAAAAAATAATATATCAAATGTTGTATACAACCAAATATATTTTACCTAGTATTGACAGTGAAAGTATAGGCAAGCAATTGATATTATTATTTGAAATAAATATAGATTTTACAATTAAATGTCCTATTCATGATATAAAATATTTAATTTATGATAAATTCAAAAACTTTTTTCTATTCACTTACATTAAACATATAAACCATATTTTAAATGGTTTGGATAGAAGTAACCATTCAAAAAGTACAGATATTCTTAAAACAGCTTAAAATTCTCATAATTATTATTTTAAACATAAAACACGCAAACGTTTATAATTTTATATTTTGATTATTGAATAATTAAAGTATATAGAGATGAAGTGTATATTTATTTATGATTAAGAAACTAAATTTGACTTGAAATTATTATAAAAACTAAAAATGTTAATGTATAAAATTGTTTTTAATGTGAAGATAAATACAATATTCTGTTGTATCTTCAATATTTGTATAATTTATTTTTATATGAAAAAAATGTGTTATATAATCATGTTTATTAATTATTATCATGTCATTATGAATATTTCTTTTGTGATTGAAATTATTATCAAAAAATAATGTATCTATAAAATTGTTTTTAATGTGAAGAATGAAGATAAATACAATATTCTGTTGTATCTTTGATTTTTATAATTTATTTTTACTATCATGCTATTTGTTGTGTAATTACAAAATTATAAAAAAAAACGTACAATTTCTATGTAAGTTTTTGAAAAAAATAAAAAATAAAATATTTCAAATGATCAATTGTAGTTTTATTATAAATTATAATTATTATGTAAGCATTAGGTAATGATAAAATGACGGTATGACCAGTAAGAACAAACATACCTTATGTCTTTACCTAGTTAGGTGTTTACTATTTAATAATACAATAGTTAAAATAAGTATGCAATGTACAAATTAATAATAATCGATATAACTGCATTATATACTATCGATATAATAACAATCGATTATACAAACTATCGATTTTTGTTGCAAAAGAGATGCACTCGCTGCGCTAGTGTTCCTATTCTTCATGGTATCAGAATAAACTATCAAGTTGGCGTTCTAGGTATCTTTATTCTATGCACTGGCCGATACCGTGAATTTCAACGGTGTGGTCAATTATGTGATTATGGAATCAGTGTTCACGTGTAGTGTGTACTAGTACAGTCAGATGGAAAAACGCTATTACGGTTATCTATAGTTTATCAACGTCATGGAGGTATATAAACTATACTGGAGCGCGCACTGCGTATACCGTCCGTGTAATGAAAAACGAGCCGACGCGGTCGATCGTTTCCCCCACCACTGCAGGGCAACTTTAATGCCATGTACCGTATGGAGTATAATAGTACGACGTACCTACTACCTTTACGTGTATAATACATTATTTTTTTCAAAAATTATTAAATTAGGAATCAATAAAAATAATTTAATATCATTTAATTTTTGAATAGCAAAACATTAAAAGTATTAGCCCTTAGTATAGTATACTCTAATATATATTTGAGAAATACAATACTTATCATTACTACACATACAATATAAAATTAAAAATACTAATGAAAATATTTATTATTTCCTTTAAAAATATTAATAACATATAATTTAACATTCATTTACATAATATCATACTAAAATAAATTACATTCAAATTATAAATAAAAGTATAAAAACAAATCAAATACACTCAATGAGTAGTTTTAACAGTTTAAATATTGTTAAATAAAATTAATTTTGTTAATTTCTGCCTTAATGATGATTTATTTTTAAATACTTGTTTAGAGTTTATTTCTTTGGCATAATGACGCATTCTTATATTAACAAAACATTGACTTAGTGCAGTAAAGAGGCTATACTCATGACTTGGGGAACCAATATCAACAGTAATAGGATGTGAATTTGGGAAAAAAAATAGAGTACTTTTGTTCAATATATTTTTTTTTGCTAACATTACAATGTTCTGTTTCCCATTGTTATGTAATTTTTTATTTATAACAACAACAGCTTGAAAAGAGTTTTCAAGCTCTTGAATAATATAAGTGATACACCTGATGAAACTATTTTCAATTTCCCCCGATTTACAAAAGATGTAAAATTTGCATCTTTTACATAGCTATGATCTGTTAGATCACTTTTTACTAATATATCAATACAGTAAGGACACATAACTTTTTTGCAAATATTTTTTACAATATATCCAGCAATATAATCAAGTATTTCATTAGTATATTCAATTAACTGTATTACGATTATTAACGAAATATCCATTTTTGTTCATAAAATATATTAGAATGTTTTTGACGAATTTTAATTTTAATATAAAAATAAGGTTAAAGACAAAAAAACAGCATAAACAATTAACCAAGAGTTCAGAGCCATGAGAACATACTACGTAGTGGCCGGCGTGTGGTAATCTTTTGCCCTGCAGTGGTGGGGGAATCGTTCGAACGCGTCGGCTCGTTTTTTGATAACGAGTGCGCGCTCCAGTATAGTTTATATACCTCGATGATCAACGTTGAAATACTTTCGCTGATTATAAATATTTGGTTTTGATAATGTGATAGTTGTATTCATGAAGATTAGAGCTGATAAGGAGAACAAACTCCTATAGCCGCTCGTTTATAAAGCGGCCTGTCAAATAAGTCGCACGGTTATTCTGCCACCAGGAGCTCTCTAATCTTCATGGTTGTATTATACGTATAATATTATTTTACATAAAAATGTTTTAATTTAAAAAATATTCAATAATGTTTACTATCTGTATTTAATTTTAGATTTATATATTATATTTTTTTATACTAATGTATTCAGGTAAATTACAGATAATGAATTTTTGGTATACATATGATTATTGTTGTGAACATATTCAATATTATGAAGAACAGATTGTAACATTAATGAAGATAATTGATGAAAATAAAATTAAAGAGAGATACGAATATAAAAATCTTAAAAAAAAAATTAGAAACCTCAAATATAATATTTATTTAAGTGGAACAAACTCTAAGCCGAATTTTTCTTATATAAAAGAGTTAAATGCTAAATTAATTTTATTAAGAGAAAAAAAAATAGATATATGTCGAAAATATAGTGATTTATATGTTACAAATTTTCGAAGACGAGAACACTGTTTTGGTAAAAGATTAGATTTTATTACAACCGCAGAATCTAAGCGCGAAAGGTTTAGATCAGGTTAAAAAATTTTTTTTAAATTATGAATAATTAGTAATTATATTATAAATTTATATTTATGTACACAGGTAATCAATGTTTTTTTTTATAGTTTATAATATAGTATTGTTGTTTTCTTTACGTTATTATTAAATTATTCATTAATTTCTATAAACTAAATATAATCATTGAAAACTATAGCTTGTACATGATCTGTCATCATAGTTAATTTTTATTTTGATATAAATGTTTATATTATATTTGGTTTCATAAAATATTATAAGCATTTATATATGAACTAACCTCAATAAAGAAACATTTATATTTATATATATATATATATATATATAAATATATAGGTCAGTCAGAGTGATTAATCACTATGTCAGAAAAATCACAAGAGCTGTTGAGATCTGCGACAACAAACAAATATATGAATGTTTATGCAAACTTTTGAAACTTCCGATGACTATGGAACTTTTAGCAGCCACTGAAATTGGTCGAGTAGTCAACAAATTAAGAAGCAGAGGTGGAGTCGTAGGCAAATTAGCAGAAAGAGTGGTCATAACATGGAAATATGTTGTAAAAAAAGAGTTAACCGAGCAATATTTTTCTAAGGAGAACTTTAGTCCTTAAGAAATATCAATAAATTATGATTAACATGTAATATTTTCTTATATAAAAAGTTAAATATAAAATAAAATAATGAATTTTGGACATTAATATACATTATTTTATAACTAATAGTTAGTTTACAAATTATATTCATTTTTCTAGAATAAAAAAAAAATGGAGTCATCACTAATAACTGAAAAAATCAACGCCATCTTGAGACAACGCAAGGAAAACGAACAAGGCATGAGAATAGCCAAATTCAATTTTAGGAAAAATCTGAATTATATTAATATGAAAATAGCGAAAGCAAGTTTAAAAACAACTAAAAATAAATTAATAGAAGAAAAACAAAAAATATTAAATGAATATAAAAGTTCATTATACATTGACTTTCTTTGCGAAAAAAGTATTCAAAGAGGGCTCAGCGATTTGTATGAACAATTAGACAGTATATAATAATATAGTTACTGATAATATTCTGTTTTTCGAAAAATAAAAATCAATATAAATAAATTATTTTTGTTATTATTTATTATTTTATCTTATAATTATATATCGAATGATATTGTAGTAAATTATAACCTATATCATTTTGTGTATATAATATCTAACGAAGGATAATAAATGTTTTTAATGTTTAATACTGTTCAAGTTTTACAATCGTACAAATAAAACTAATTTAATAAAAATTTAGATTAAAAAAAAACGTATCAATTTTCTAACATAATGAGCGTATAAACAATGTACCAGTATTAATAGTTAGTTTTGAAATTCTATGTAATTTTCAGAATCATGAGCTCAGAAATAAACATTATTAAAAGCAGAATTCTAGCAGTAGAACAACAGGTGCGTGCAAATAGACGCTATTGTAACGAGAAACAGAAAGCATTTCGGAAAGTAATTGTAAAAATTAATAATAGTATGAAGAAACATTTAAATTTAAAAATTGAGTTGATAAATGAACATAATAGATTCCAAAACTATTCAAGTGAATGTAAAGCAGATCTTCAGTATCGGTTAACAGAACTAAGCAATCGGTTAAGAGAATTAGAATCTGAGTAATTTCTTATTGTATTAATCAATTTTTTATAATAATTTAGAATTAATACTATTATCATATTTATGAAAAAAAAAAAAAAAAAAATTCTAAATTGCTTGCATAAGATTTTTTTTTTTTTTAAAAAGAAGTTGATGTTATAATAAATTGTTACAATATTATTATTATTGCTTATACCCATGTTTTTATTTAATCTATTTTCAGTTTCACAATGAAAAGAAAAACGGTTACAAAACGTCAGCGGATGACATCTTCTGATGAAGGTTTATTTGAAATTGAAAGGTTTAAAAAATGTTCGAAAACATTTATGATTAAGAATACTTTAGATTTTATAGACTATATGCTTTTTTTAACTATGTTAGAGATAAATTAATTTTAAAGTTAAAACAATCAT